CAGGGTTATGGGAAATGCGAGTGTCCGGAAAATCGGCAACGGGGAGCGGAGATTTCACCCTTTGTGGTCCGAATGTCTGCAATCGCCTTACAAGTGTCGAGTCGGACTCGACATGAGACCTTAAAGGGTTAAGGTCCTCAGGGCGCGATTTTCCGCCTCTTAATCCACGGACAAGTCCGCGCGGAAAAGTTCCGCCGAGGGGGATTAACCTTGCTTTTATTTCTTCGACGCAATCCCGATCATCGTAATTTCAGTCGGACCGCGGGTGATTTTTTATTCTGTCGTAACATCGATTGTAATCGCAGGAAATTAAAAAAAAAAAGAAGAAAAACAGGGTAATGGGAAATGCGGCAAAATGCAACAATTAATGGGTAGGTATTCGCGGACCCTGGACGGCAGGGTGGGGTGAAAAGTTCGACTGCTGCGTTAGGATGAAGATGGGCGAGATTCGACGACTAAAGTGCAAGACGCCCTCGAGCTCCCTTCGGGGTCCCAGGGACTTCGGACATTTTCGAGAAGCTGCGCCCCCTCCCCAAGGGTCGTGGAAAGTTTTCTCGAGAGGGACGGAGAGGGGTCGAAATCTGAACTGCATCGAGAGGGAGACGGGGGAGACTTTTGTTCCCGAAGAGCCGAAGCGGGCTCGCCGGACCGTCGTTAGTATAGGCAAGGAGAGAGTAAAACAAAAAAAACGAAAAGAAAAAAACAAATACCCAGTGTTTGCGAACGAAAGCCTCGCCTCCCCTCGTTGCAAACCTCGCCCGAGGAATTTTCCAAAACGAATTTTTCCAAATTCAAACACATATCCCGCTAAGTCGTGATTTCTCCAGACTTTTTCCTTAGAGTCCGAAAAATCATTACTATAGTCAGAGACAGAGAAAGATACCCAATGTTTGCGGACGAAGATCTCACCTCCCCTCTTCGACGCAAACCTCGGCCGAGAAATCTCCCAAGCCGTAAGAATAGAAAAATTCCGAAATTCAGCACCGAGTCGGAATTTTCCTGAATTTCGCCATTTGGCCGGAAAACCGCGGAAGCGTCATCGCGCGCCGGCTTCGAAAGCGCTCGTTCGCTCATGGGTCTAGATTCGCGATTCCTCGTTACTCCGGCGAGATACGATTTCCGCGATATCGAGGGTAAAAGATCGCGTCTCTCCGCGCAACGAGGCTGTTCCGGAACGCCTCCTTACACCGGACGAGAGGGCCTTGACACCGGTCCGCCGCTCTCTTCATCCCTCTACACGTGTACAGGGCTAATCGCGCCTAACGTCGGCGCACCGAAGAAAGTGATTATATCCCGTGCACTGGACAACCGGCGTTTACCACATATCCCGGCTGCTGCACCGCCGGGACGTTGTGTTTCAATGTCCCGGAGCCGTCAGGACTGTTCTCTTTTTCCCCCCTGCACGTGCTCGTGCACGTGCTTTAAAGAAAGACATTTCCACTTTCCAGAAAAGGACCGAGGATTAGAATATCCTTTTGCAGCAGGAATAATCGCGTCAAAACGCCGCGGCAAACAAGCGTCATCGATCGAACACGTGGACTCGACCTCCGGGGGGGCTTTAAAAAAAACGTACTAGCTAAATCATGGAATTAAATCACAGCAATAAATCAAATATTACTGTCTCCAGTGAAGAGAACGATGTACAGGTGTCGTTAGGGAAGTCTACAATGAATGCAAAGGGAATGCAAAAGAAATAATAATATTTCATCTTGGCTACGCGCCAACAGTCCTAAACAAACGTTCTGCTGATACCCTTTCAGGCGACCATTTTTTTTTTTCATTCATCGCCGCGAGTTTCATTTATTTCCGCTTGTGAATTATTTCCCTGCATGCATACTAAATATCCATGATGGGTGCGGTCGCTTTTTGCCCCCCTCCTTTTTTTTCTCCCAAAGCTGCTCGACGCTTGACGATGTATCCATGAATAAATCCGTCGAATATCCAAGGATACTCTATCGATCCCCGAGATCGGTGAATTCCTTAGCGTCGCTCCTTCTCCAGGCTTACGATTTATTGAGGGAAAGAAAAAAAAAAAAAAATGAAAAAGAAAAACGAGATTATAATAAAAATCACGCGTTATTTGATCAGACCTCCGGTGAACCACGTGCTCGGAATTATCGACATCAGCTTCCTGACGACGAGGCGAGGCCTGTGCAACGATTCTAGATGCGTAAAGGTCGTGCATACATTAAAAACTGAGGCTGGAGAGAGGGAAAGGAAAAAATAAATAATAAGAATAATAATAATGCCATTAACAGGTGGGACATGCGAGGGGCGGGAGGCGACCACGGAATACGACGACCCCTTCCCCAAGCTCGAGCGGCCACGAGGAAGATAGGAATAAAATTAACCTTATCGATCCTACTTCCACCCAAGATTTTAATGTATTCCCGGAATAACACGCGACATCGCGCATTCCAAATGACGGAATCGATGGAACGGTCAAGAGATTCGCGTTGCATACCAATTCCCGGGTAACCGGGCTCGGTGCACCGAGACGTAATCGTCCCCTCAAGGTATATGGGAACATATGCACGCGAAGCCTCGGTATAATAAGCAATTAACAGGCCGGCGTATTAAGAGATCGACGACACGTTACCCGTCCACCTCCCGAAGTAGTTAAGAGACTGAAGAGGTGCCTTTATGCCGAGTTCCTCGTCTGGATTTATATCGAATGCCCAGGAAACGAGATACTGAGAACAACCGCGCTTTTATTCTCGATTTCGCCCCGTCTTTGCTCCCGTTGTAAGAAAAAGGTATAGAGTTTCGCCGAGTAAACGTCAACACCTGTGGGGTAATTACACGTGCGGAGGGAAGGTGTAAGAAGGAGTACCGGCGAATCGTCTTACGCGGTTCGACGAGTTGTAGATTAATCAGCAATATAATTAACTAGTAATGTAAAGAATAAAAATTAGTAATGATTAATTGATAAAGATGAATTAGTAATTGATTTGTTCTTGCTAGTCAAATACGAGATGTATCGACCTTCCATTTGGTAGGATGTCACTGTATGTCAAGCTGGGAATAATTAAATTTATACTAATGTAACTATTGGTATTATTATTTTATTGTTATAAAGAATGGATCGAGATCAAACGTCAACACCTGCAGATAACGGGCGGCGGAAATGTGCCTGGAATGGATCAGGAAAACCGCGTTACGTGATTTAACCAGTTGTAAATTATTTGCATTAGTTTCCCCGCGAGTCGAAGACGAGGCGTCGGCCTTCGGTCTGGTTTCTATATCAATTTATATGAATGATTAATTATTAGCGTTTGTGTTTCCGCGAATCGAGGGCGGAGCTCCTTTTCGGATCCGTTCGTACCCCATGCGGAGACATGTTATTAATAATTAACATTTCTACTCCCAAAGACGAGGCTCTATCCTCAGATCTGGGTATACTATGCAGTTTCATTCATTATATCGGGTTGTTCAACGCGTAATATCTCCCACATATAAAGACCAAAGGGCGTTTACAGGTAATCGTCCTGAGAGTCCAATTTTACAGGAATGATTAATTATTAGCGTTTGTGTTCCCGCGAATCGAGGGCGGAGCTCCTTCTCGGATCCGCTCGTACCCCAAGCGGAGACATGTTATTAATAATTAACATTTCTACTCCTAAGGACGAGGCTCTATCCTCAGACCTGGGTATACTATGTAGTTTCATTCGTCATATCGGGTTGTTCAACACAAACTGAGGATTTTACCGTCTCTCCTAACGGAAGAACGTAATATCTCCCACGTATAAAGACCAAAGGACGTTTACAGGTAATCGTCCCGAGAGTCCCATTTTACATGAATGATTAATTATTAGCGTTTGTGTTCCCGCGAATCGAGGGCGGAGCTCCTTCTCGGATCCGTTCGTACCCCAAGCGGAGACATGTTATTAACAATTAACATTTCTACTCCCAAAGATGAGGTTCTATCCTCAGACCTGGGTATATTATGTAGTTTCATTCGGCATATCGGGTTGTTCAACGCGTAATATCTCCCACGTATAAAGACCAAAGAGCGTTTACAGGTAATCGTCCCGAGAGTCCTATCTTACATTAATGATTAATTATTAGCGTTTGTGTTCCCGCGAATCGAGGGCGGAGCTCCTTCTCGGATCCGTTCGTACCCCAAGCGGAGACATGTTATTAACAATTAACATTTCTAGTCCCAAAGATGAGGTTCTATCCTCAGACCTGGGTATACTATGTAGTTTCATTCGGAATATCGTGTTGTTCAACATAAATCGAGGATTTTACCGTCTCTTCTAACGGAAGAAAGTAATATCTCCCACGTACAAAGACCAAAGGGCGTTTACAGGTAATCGTCCCGAGAGTCCCGATCGAGTTGACAAAGCCCAGAGAAGAGAAGCAGAGCCCGTTCGAAAAGCCGACGCACCCAAGGCCCTCCACTCCATTATCTCTCAAGACAGAAATTTCAAACCGAAGGAATGAAAGATAATAACCCACATACAATGATTAACGACCATTTGATAAATTCACCTTAGAGGTACTCGGTACTTTTCATTTATACCGACGATATTTCAGCATACCTATATACCTTACTCGAGATAGAGACATTCATTCAAATGATATATACAAGATAAACACGTACCGTATCAAGAGAATAAAATACCAGAATTAAAGTGCCGGCTTTACCGATACTCTGCCAACGGTAACGACTAGATTTGGTATTTTCGAGCGGACTTGAGTTGATTTATTTTGAACCGAATGTGTCATTGACTCGAGATAATTTTCCTCATTGTATTTCTTTTTCCTTTCCTTCGGTTTAAAATCCGTACCGTGAGCATTCCGCATCCTAGGGACCCTGTGTGCGTCTCGGTAGGGGACCCGTTCCGGGCTCTCGAGCACCCTTGGCCCGTCCCTGCCCCAGCCGGCCCTCGCGAGCGCCGCCTACGCGGACCGTTCTCCGCGAGGCTACGAGTCCCCTAACCTTCCTGAAAACACTCGGTCATAACAAAACCGCGCCAGTGGCAGCCTCGACTTACCGACAGCGAGATGAGAGCTCCGCCGAAGGGGTCCCAGGTAGGCGTTCAGGCTCCGGGTCGGGAGACTAGCACTGGCTCGCACCTGCTCACCGAGTCCTCCGGAGAGGACGTTTCATAGCGAGACGTCCTAAGCCTGAGTTTCCCGGTGGTATTTAAGTTCCAGCGGTCCGAGTACGCCCGAAGAGTCGCGGCAACGCACAGGCAGACTCGCGGCCTGGTTCCCTCTTTGTCCGCTTTGAGGTTAGGTCGGCAGCTGGCTGGGCTGAGCGCGTCGCCGTGGCCTTCCCGGAACGCCGAGAGGCGGCGAAGATGGCGTCGCCGATGGCGCGCTGACTCGCGACTTCGCCGTGCTTAACGTGCGACCGCTCTCGGCCCGTCCGGCGTCAGGTAGTCGACGATGACTCGAGCGGAACCACGAAATACGCCATACCGACTGCGCGACCGGCGTCGAACTGGCGGCCGGCGCAGCGGGGAGGCGGCCCGGCGAACGGGACTCCCCCCACTTCGCCCGGCTTCCCCCACCACCGCGCCCGCTTCCCCGCCGGCGCGCGAGCGAACGCCGCGCTCGAGCGCAGACGGTCGGCGGCGGCGGAGCGGGAGACTTCTCTCTCTCCTTGTGAGACGGACCGGAGAGGGGGGACCCGCATGCGCCCTGCTGCCAGCTCGCGCTGCACGCGGTCGCGCCCAGCACGAGACGCCGCGAGGCACTACGAGGCGCGTATATTGATGCAAGACCTGCAACGTACGAGTTAGGTACTACTTCTCCTCTCCTCCTCCTCCATTACTTTCGATCGACGATCGATTTACCTTCCACTCGCTGGTAACGTTAAATGTACGGCTTTGTTTTTTTTAAATCCAAGCGGAGGAGAGGAGAAGAAATCGTGGCCTTGCATTCCATGGACGATGACCTCGTAAGGGTAATTCAGGTACTTGATGTTATTTAATGGTAAGTTGAGAAGGGTATTTTCTACGTACATGGTATTTTTTAATGGTGCGATGGTATCTTAGAATCTCGGGTTGTACACTTTTTTAACGGTTGTAGAGGAAAGCAGGAAAATATTTCATTTGGCAAGGATTGGTTACCCTCTTGATTTCCCACGGAGAGGGGCCAGGGGAAGACAATTGGCCCCGATCTACATAGGTAACGAGTAGCCTCGCGGCCGCAACGAGCTCTTATTTCCCGGAGCTCCCTGCTTCCTCGAAGGACAGGACGTGGAAAGAAACGAGAGGATCTCTGCGGCGGTCCAGGCGAGGAGGCGCCGCGCGCAGAGGCGGGAGAGCGAGGGAGATCGACGCGGGATAGAGGGAGAGGAGGCGAGTGCCGAAGGGAGGAAAACTCGAGACGTCTCCTCGAGCAGCCAATTGTCGGGGCCAGCACGAGGAGTCTCGGTTAACGAACGAATTCCGAGATGGGTGAGACCCGACCGGAGAAGAGGATTTATTGCGCCGTTCTTCCAACGTTGGACGTTGCCATCCCTGAGAGTGAGGGGAAAAATCTACCCTCTAACCGCCGGAGATCGTTAGATACGTTTTTTTTTCCACCTGGTATTTATTCAAACAGGCGAGGGAATCGAAAATGAAGCCACTCTATCGATACGATCGGTCATTTGCAATTAAAAGGAAATTCATCTTTCCGGGGAGGCAGCAGTCGAGGACCCTATTCCCGAGCGAAATTGACAATTTCGTGCAGGACTTTTAAATGTTGATTAATGACGGGATTTCACAACGGTGAGAAATTTCCTATGCGAATGAAATCCGGATGTACTGGAGAATAGGAGGCCTGGACCTTTCGCCTTAAAGCCATCGGATAGCGTCGCCGAGATTTTCCGCATAAAGTTCGCATATCGCGAGCCATATAATGCCTGGCATGCAATTATGTCTCGAAATCCTTCCGAGGGTTTTCCTTTTAGCACTAAGGCTCGGACGGAGGGAAGCGTTAAGGCGAACTACGCCCAGGGAATGCGAGGAAGGGTTTTACGACGCGGGGGAAGAGGGCGGAAGAGCGAGAGAAGGCGAAGGGAGGTTCCTTGGGCCAGAGAAAGAGGGAGAGGAGTATCGAGGAGGTTGACGGTTCTTCTTCCTCGGCTTCTGGCGGCGATTTCTCGGCTTCCGCTTTCCTGGACCCCGCGAGTGGGCTCTCCACCGGAAGGAATCTCTCCGAGCCGGAATTCTCGTGAAATTAACAAGTTTTTAGCTGATCAGAATTTTAATTACACGCCCCAACGTCCATTGCCAATTAAAATCGCTAAGCGCGTTACGGCGGAATCTCCAGGGATCCTCCTTCGTCCTCGACGGGCTTTTCCGTTTTCTTTTTTCCTTCCCTTCCCTCGCTTCTCACATACCTTTTTATTCCGGATGAGCTATTGAGCCACGAGCGACGGGGAAATTGCGTCGAAAATGTTCGCGGTAGGTCAGTTTAAAAACGTTAATATCACGGGAGATAAGAGATTTGCACTTTTAGCAGATAACAGCACTGCTGATAAAATTTTGCTCTTACTGCAGGAATAATCTCACCAACAACAAAGACGTTCTCCATTACATTGAATCGTTGGGGACCTCTCTTTAGAGAAAATGCTTGATAAATTAGCAAATGGATTTGTTGCGACGGCCAAGAAAATTATTGTCACCACTCACGCGAACGGGCGATGGACAATTTGATGTTGCTAGATATAGAATATTGCGGCTAGGAATAAAATTTCCGTTGTCCCGGGGAAGTAATCGTTTTTATTTTTTGTTGTCAATCCAACGAAAATGTTTCTGGCTCATTTTCAAGCGGTCACATTTGTTGCGGCGATTAAAATTTCTTGTGACCGTGAATTTTTTCCTGCGGGTATTAATTTAAGTAATCGCGAAGAGTAGTTCTACAGGTCCAGATGTCGCAAAAAGGACGTGCGGAGGTTTGATAGAATTTTAAGTAATTCGGGGTAGTTGGACGTACGTGAAATAGTTAGGCTCGTATCGATGACTCGGTTAATCATCGAACGAGCATATTGATTCGCTCGAAATGAGGCTCGCATGTGCTCGGCCCACTATTGACGTTTGCGTAACGTTATCCAATTGCAAACTGCATCCGCTAATGTGTGGCGAGGTTTAGTTGATTAATCCACCAGCGGACGAAATTGCCGGGCAAAATGCAGAGCGTGATTTATGCAACGCGACGGTAAGACGCATCCGAAAATGGGTTGCGTCTGCTAAAAGAGAAGAGCGAGCCTTACGTCTGTAGCTCGGTGGTAACATCAAAGACGGAAGACCGCCGGTGGTCAATTAACTCGCCTGGTATTTATCGAGTTCATTGCCGAGTTTGTACGCTCTTCTACGGACAAAGCGGTGAAACGGCTTCTGGTGCTTAGAATTCGGCGGGATAAACGCGTTTCGACATTCCTTCCCTTAATGCATTTAGGCGGAAGTGCAGCCGTTACCGTGTGGCGGTCATATCATATATATATAACTGTTATCAGAAGTTCTTCCTTCAACACAGGCCTTCGATAGTCCAGCGGTTACGCTTCCGCTCATACCACGCAGTCTCTCGGGTTCGAATCCCGCTCAGAAGAGATTTTTCGGTGTCTAAGGCAGGGTCTGCCTGATAGCCTTACTGACGAGTCCACACAGAGAGACCTGGGACGAAACACAACTACAAATGGGTACCAACACACCATCTCTCCCCACCTAAACCCAAAACCGAAAGGGTAAGTGAACAACGCACGAGCGGGTTTTCGGTCTTGCGAGATACGTGTAACGATTCGCTATCCAGTGGAATGGAAGATATCTCGTCTCTCTGGATGGGACTCAGCGGATCGTTGACTGCACTCCGACGTTTTTGGCGCAGCCATTGGGGTCCATGGCGAGGGTTTTCGAATGTAAAAAAGCCCCGAATCTCGCCGAGTCTGCAGAACGGTCCTCGACTCCTTCGCTCCGTTTTGCCAGCCGAATACCTTGCGGAGCGACTTCATTCCAGATTCCCATTTCCTAAAGGAGTCTCCGAAATTCCCGCCCCGTCTCGATGGTCTCCTAGCGGGGCCCTACGGTCTCCTCTTTCTCTTGCTTTTGTCACCCTCTTGGATCCCTGTCCAAAGAAAATCGACGAACCCTTTGCCCTGGGAGCACCTTTCTAACCCCCGAAGACGTTCGATTACGTCGAGGTCTAGGGGGAGATGATTCAGCCTTAGGGGTTAAATTTTATATTTTCGAGTTACACCCCTTCGCTGGGAGGGAATTTAAAGCGTCATTAGGTGGGAGAAAAGCTGAGTGGTTTTCGGGTTTAATCGGAGGGTCGCGATGGCAAAGCCTGGTATCCTGGGGGAGTATCCGGCATCTCTGCTGATGGTCGTCCAGCGTCCTGGAAGGACACGTATCCCCTCTGACACGACCCCCTCGAGGGCCTCGCTTATTTACTTGGCATATAGACTCTTCGTGGATTTTTTCCCCTCGGGATCGCCGTCCACCTGAAGTTTGCCGTAGGAAATGAAGGTTCCTTGCTCGCCGGCCCGAAAGGCCGCCCTCCGGAGGGCCGGCTAGGTCCGAATTGGCCCCGAATCGCCTCTTTTCAACCACGAGACCATTTATGCTCTCGGGGTGCTTGGAATTGACGTCCGCTTCGCTTGCATCCCGTGGATGCCACTTTGCAGACGGATCGGGGTAGTAAGATGATTCGGGGTATCCTTGGAGGAAAAAAAAGAACCTTTTCAAAGATTCACCCAATCTGCTGGATGTTTTGCCGTTGAATCACACAGTGGTTTTCGTTGCGGGAGGGCACGTAAAAAACCACCAATTCAGCGTTCCAGTGAAACGAAAATTGGACGTGCCGGATGTTTGAGCGTAAGAAAAATTAGACATGCGGGGACTTAAGCGTAAGAAAAGACTTGCGGGTACTTGAGCCGCACAAAAATTAGTCACGCGGATGCGCTAACGTCATTGAAATCGTACACGTGGGTACGCAATTAAGAACACGTAATTCTGGCAATGTTATCGTGTTTTGTCGAAAAAAAAAATGAACCCTCGAATTTTTCGAAGTCATAGAGACTCGCTTAGAGCACTTTGAGAGAAAATGCGCTTAGAGAGGGAATTCGTTTTGAGATGGCACGTAAAAAACCACCAACTCAGCGTTCCAGTGAAATGAAAATTGGTCGTGCCGGATGTTTGAACGAAAGAAAAGTTAGACTTGCTGGTCCTTAAGCCTCAAAAAAATTAGTTACGCGGATGCGCTAACGTCACTGAAATCGTACACGTGGGTACGCAATCAAGAACACGTAATTCTGGCCATGTTATCGTGCTTTGTCGAAAAAATAAATAAATAAATAAATAAAAACGAACCCTCGAATGTTTCAAAGTCATAGACACTCGCTTAAAGCACTTTGAGAAAAAATTGGCTTAGAGGGGGAATTGATCCGTGGACCGGCCCGATGCGTCCGGTCGAGAGTATCGATCGGC